AACTTGGTCCCCTGAGATCTGCTCTACTCCGTGTTCCGTCGAGAAGTGGATGAGCTGGTGGTAAGTTGAGGGGACTGCTTCCATTTGATGAATCCAAGGACGACCGAGTATAGCATTGTAAGGAAATGTTGTGTTAATAACCAAGAATTCTATCTGAAGGGTCTTTGTCCCAGCCATAACTGGCAACACTGTCGTGCCAAGTGGCCATTCAGGCTGTAAATTAAAACGACCAACGGAGCTGCCGCTAGGGTGAGGTGCTACTTAAAGAGACCGAGCTTCCTGAATAAGTCGTAATACAATATATTTGCTGTACTACCTTGATCTACCAAGAATCGCTTCATATCAAATCGTTTCTCAATTCCCACAGTTATAATCAATGCATCAGTATGTGGGTGTTGAATAACTTCTAAATCCTTCCTAGTAAATGAAACAGTGCATAAGGGAGGCTTAGGTACTGTCAGTACCTTTTTCGGCGCCGGCCCTACCGACATGACTTGCTGAATCTGTATAGCTTTTGCAATTTCTTCTTGAAGTGCCTCTTCGTGCTCGTGATTGGTTGCACCATGAATTACATTTATTATCAACCAGGGTGGATGCATGTTTGGTTCTGGTAGGGCGTTCCCTTGTTCCTGATCAATGTAGTCTTGGAGGTGCCTAGCAGCTACCAAATCTTTCAAGTGTTGCTTCAATGCTCTGCAATTCTGGGTCATACGCCTCCGGTCTTGGTGATAGGTGCATCTGAGCTTTTGGTTGCGTCGAGCTGGATCTCCTAGCATTTTTGGTGGCGAAGTAAAGAATGGCTCTCTCTTGATTTTTTCCATAATACGATAGATTGGTTCCTTGAATACAGTTACAATTGCTTCATGGGATTTAGACTTGTTTACTTCATTCACTGCTAGTCCTCGATGTTCCCCTCAGTCTGCTCTTCTTTTGTTCCGAGCTGTTTGTTCAGTTGATGCTACCTCGATGGGGATTTGATTGTCTTCAAGGCGAGCGTACTGTTCAATCCTGGCACACAAATCCTTCAGTGCTGTGGCTGGGCGCTTGGTAAGTGATTGTCTCAGCTTGCTTTCTGAACCCAGACCGTGTTTAAAAGATATTACAGCCATCTGTTCACAGCAAACGTTTTCCTCCAGATCGTTATATTCTTCCCAATACCTTCTAGCATAATTACACAGCGTTTCCTCCTGTTCCTTTCGGAGACTGAACAAGGTGTTTGGCTCTTTTGGGATCTTAGTGTTGGAGGCGAATTTGGCCAAGAACTCTTCAGAGAGCTGCTTCCAATCGTAAATCGATTCGGCGGGGAGACGATCGAACCATTGAAGTTCGGATTCTCTCAAGCTGGATGGAAAGACTTTGCACATCAGTGCCTCGTCTCGGCTCCATAAGGACATCATCTGCCGATAATGGCTGATATGTGTTAGTGGGTCTGATTTCCCATCGTATGACGTGAACTTTGGTGGAGTGAATTTCTTGGGGGGTCTCATAGCTTCGATTTCTGGGGAGAAAGGAGAGGAGACAAGTCGATCCAATGCTCGGTGCTCTCTATAATGGATAGTACGATCAAGGCGTTGAGCCTGATGATCTCGCTGTTGCTCATTTTTTCTGTTGCCGATCAACCAAGTACGGAGATCCTGAGGAGGATACTCTGTCTGCTGGCTGGCTGATTTTTGCCTCTTGGCCCTTCTCCGGCGTGAACCACGGTTATGGCTGTTCGCTGCTTCACTTTACACTGGGATTGGCTGACTTTGCTGCCCAGATTCATTTCTAGGGGCCTTCTTCACTGGTGGTTCATGGGATGGGCTCCTCTGGTGCAGACGAGAGGGCTCTGCGTTGGTCCTCTTCTCCATCGGGTTGCCCATCACCCTTTTAAGTTGTGCTTTCAGTTCCTATATCTCCATTCCCATGTAATCGATGATTTGATCTCTATAATCCTTCTCTAATAGAAAATGGTGGGAAGAACCTCTAGCAAAGGGCTGTCGATGCTCAACTGATTCGGGAGTCCAGTTGTTGTTTCCGGTCTGTTCCTCTAGAACTGTTGGGAGTGCCAAGCCTTTATCCTTTGTCTTCTCCGTTTGTGGAGTCAATGCCGAGGGTGGAATATCCTCAATTCCCATCGCCAGGATCAAGTGCAAAATTCGGAGATGAAGCTTCCACGCTCACCGCACCAATTGTGCGTACCGAATACCGCACTAGATGATTATGGATCGAAGCTCCGCACCTGATTGGACTATCTAGGAACTGAGACCCTGCAACAATGAGCACCGTTAGAGCTGCCCGGCCGGAGTTAGCCAGATAACCCCTCCGGTGTGGGAGTAAGTGATCGGAGAAGATGGAAGGTGCTCTTTAAGTGTAGAGAGTTGTGTTTAAGTGAGTATGGTTAGCTCAACTTAGTTACCTTCAATGTGAAGTGAGTGTAGTTTATATAGAACTCTTTAGTTGTTGCCCAAGATGTTTTCATGGAGCTTTGGTGCTGCCAGGTTCCCTTTAGCATTGCTCAAGGTAGGGGACCATCTGGTAGTTGACAAGGGGTGTATATACTCATTGTAGTCATGCTGATAACAAACCACATTCCTTTGATTAACCATTTCTGTAATTCTAGGTGAAGGGAACCAGCTGAGGTGGCAGTTTGCACATGTATGCACTCACAGCTTCCACGTTTCTCTGAGAGGTTCCCTCGGCTCGGTACCGTTGTGCCTCGACTCGGCCCTCTGCGAGATTGCTTGTAGAGGTGGGCTGGCTCAGTAGAATATCTTTGTATGGGCTTGGCCCACTTCGGTTCGGTCCAAGGATCAGGTCCTGCAGCTCGGCTCAGCCCAGCATCGTGGCTGGATTGACATTTCCACTGCGGGTTGGGCCCAAGTGCTTGAGGACTTGGGCGGATTGTTGATAATGGAATTGGGCTTGATTGGCTTATCTGCATGTTCACTTGACCACTTGGATTAGGGCTTCGGTAGATTGGGCCGGCCCAAGGTTTGGATTTGACCCATTTCATATTTAGCCCCTTCATCAACCTTCTCTTAAATAAGGGCTTGTCTTTTATTGAATCTTCCTAGAATGAGCTCCATCACAACTGCTCATCGGAGCAATGAAAAATCAGTGGTACACTTCACAAAGGAAATCTATATGAAACATGTTTTCTGTTTTAACTCTAGTTGTCTATGAAGCTCACTAAGACACCTGTACTCTGTTACAAATGATACTGAGGTGGCTTGGAATGAATATTGCAAAGCACCTCTCAAATGTTGATTTCCGTAGTTAAAGACTTAAGAGTTTTTAAGTGGGTACTGCTATGAATTATCTCTCTTACTCCTCAAGGGTGTGCAGAGATTCTTCACTACTCTCTTGTGAACTCATTAACCCAGCTCTCAATGTTCAACTGAAGACCTTGGTCCATCAATGCTTTGAACTGATCGAATGCTTCGTGAGTTATAGTTCCCATTGCTCTTCTCTCTCATCAAATGTACACAATGATCGAATTAACCACTTTTTCCCTTCTCTTTTGTTGCTTAAATAGAGCAACAAAAGTGTGGACTTAAACACAACTTGGAGCTCATAGATGCTTCAAATGTAGAAAAAGAGTAAAACCCTAAAATGATTTTATAAAAATCCTACAACATCAAAAATAAAATAAAACCCTAGATCCGCGACGGAAAGGGACAAACCTAAATGTGGATGAGAGGGGGGAGCTCCGATGGTGAGCGACGGTGGCAAGAGCCACAATGGTCAGCGGCGGTGGAAGTTCGACAGTGACTATTAGCAGGGATGGTGAGTCTGTGAGAAGAGGGAGAGCAAGTGACTGAAGGCTTTTGTTTGGGTGAATGTAGACACTGATATAGAGAAATAAAAAATAATAACAAAATAAAACATAATTAGTGAATTGGGCGGAAAATTTGAAAATACACCAAAAAATTTGACACCTTTGCCAATTAAATATTTTTAGTCGTTGAAAATATATATTTAGTGACTAATTTTTTGGCTGCCAAATATTAAAAGCAATATTTATGTTAGTTTTTTGGCAACTAAATTTCTTTAGTCAACAAAAATAAATATATAATGAATAAATATTTTTTAGTCATTGAAGATGCATATTTGCCTACTAAATTTGGTAGTCTCCAAAGATTTAAAGTAAAATTATGCTAGTTATTTGGCTACTAAATTTATTTAGTCGGCAAAAATTAGTACACCATGACGAAATTTTTTTTGGTCACCGAAAATGCATATTTACCGACCAAATTAGGTAGTCGCAAAAGATTTAAAGTAAAATTATGCTAGTTATTTGGCTACTAAATTTGTTTTAGTTGGCAAAAATTAGTATACCACAATTAAAACAAACTTTAATAACCTAAAATCTAAACTAACAGCGACCAATATTTTTTTAGTTGCCTATTGTGGCATATTTAACAACTAAATTTTTGTTTAGTCACCAATAATTAATATACAACTACTACAAAAATTTAGTAGCTAAACCCTGCAACAAATGCCGACCAATGTAATGTTTAGTCACCTATTGTACGGCATATTTAACAACTAAATTTTTGTTTAGTCACCAATAATTAATATACAACTACTACAAAAATTGAGTAGCTAAACCCTGCAACAAATGCCGACCAATGTAATGTTTAGTCACCTATTGTACAACTTTTGGCTACTAAATTCCTTTTAGTTGTCAAATTTGGTCGCCAAAAGTGTAAATTGTTGTAGTGAATTTTGCAGATTGAAGCAATATTAAATGGTGAGTACCTCTCAAGTTCACGGCTTCACGTTCCAATAGCATGGAGGTCTTCACCCCATCCTTCCATTGTTCCACTTATATGTATATGACACATCACTCCTTAACTCTATACTTCCACTCTTGAGAAAACCAGATGCTGAGTGGAGTTACATATTCTTCTTTTTCTCATGTGTCTTTTACATTTTAATTATGCATTAAATTTGTCAAAAAGTAGCAATCTAAGTAACTGCATAACTATGGTGAGATGACATTGCTTATTGGTTAGGTATCTGACAAGGAATTTGCTTAATGGGAGTATTCCAGACTGGATCAAGAACAGAGATAATAGATAGTATGTTATTCACCTTCAATTCTATCTTAATATTTTATTAAGCTGCTAATAATTTTCTTCTTAATAATTAGATAATAGTTAAATACATGCATATGCCTGAGTAGACATACACATGAATTCCTCTTTTAAAAGTACATCATCTCATGACATCTTTGGAGGTCGTTGCAGATTTTATTCATGTCATTCACTGTTGGTGAAACTATTGACTTGATTCCCTTGAGGCTCTTTGGTACCATATATCAGCTGCGGTTGGGAAATATTCAAAAAATCTATAGAGCTGGAATGTTTCAGAAATGTTGTTGGAACCTTTCAACAACGTTTCAAACTATGTTACCAAAAAATGATAATACACTAGCAAATTACGTATTGGTACATAAGTTCCAAAAACGGTAAATTTAGTGATTCGAAGTGATTCCAATTTTTTTTTTCCAATATATTTCATGAAATGTTACCTTAAGAGAAAAAAAATCAAATGTGTGAACTAAAATCTAAGGTAAGTTAAGTTTTGACATGACAAAAAATAAAAAATAGGTCATAATTTTCGTAGAAATGATTTGCTACATGAAGAAAAAAAATTTATTGAATACCTAATAGTTAAAAGAAAATTACTCTAAAAGTATCTTAAATTCTGAAATGTAATATATATAATACTTCATTTCGGAACATGTGGTGTACCCCGTTCCCGATCTCGTTCCCGTTCCCGTTCGCGTTCGCGTTCGGGTTCGCATTCCATGTACTAGAACAATCCACGTTCTAGGTAACATAGGTTTCAAAAGAGACAAAAAAAGTTTGAAAATACATAGAAATGCTTGGACACATAAATTGAAATCTATTTAAATATATAAAAGCCCAGTAAACATAGTGATATGTACATGGTCATTCACATAAATGAACAAGTGTAAATTCAAAAATATAAAAATAAAAGTAACTTAATTTTATCAAACACAAGTGTATATAATTCTAAAAGTGTGTAACATCCCAACAAAATAAGGTCTAAAAATGTACTTAGATTGTAGTAATATTAGTATTACTATATCGCTAACAATAATATTTATTAATACAGTAAAATATAACCTTTTATATTTATTCTAATAGAATTATAAAAAAAATTATGAAAAATTCTAAATTTATGACAACAAAACTCACTGTTTTGGTATATTGTACTGTGATTTAGTGTGTTTTGCTTTCGTGTTGATGCAAACACAAGAGTTCCATTATTCCACTAATGTTTTGTTTCGGTCTTTTTGGAAATGGAAATGTTTCAGCTGTTTCGATGGAAACAAATAGAAATTTTGTTCCTTGTGGGTTATATCTCAATATACAATGAGTGTGGGATCTATGAATCCTTTGTATTTTTTTTTATTATTTTGTGGAGTTATCATGAATTATTCAAATGAAATTATTTTATGCAGCCTAACAGATCTTTCGTACAACAACTTTTTTGTGCAAGATGTGCCTTGTAAAGAAACCCTGTAAGATTTCGCTCTCTACCGTGGGGCTTCATTGAATTTGCAAGCATTTATTTTTTATTTTTTCACTTGTTCTTTTGTTTTCTTCCTTTCCTTTCCCTTAATTTTTATTTTTTATTTTTATCAAATCAGTAACTTGTTCAGAAGCTTCTCCGGTGGAAACTTGTAAGCTTCTAACTCACACTTGAAAAGTTACAGTTCACATTTCAGTTCAATCGTATCATATTGGTGATCGCTTCATTATCCTCCTCCCCTCCTTTGCTTTCTGTAAGAATTTATGTATTATTGATTGATTGATGTTGTGTTTATTGATATCAATTACAATGATTCATGATTCCTATATATAAAAGAGGGTGAGTGTGTAGTAGGTGAGGAGTAGGTGAGGAGTAGGTGGAGTAGGTGAGTGTGTAGTAGGTGGTAGTGGTAGGTGTGTAGTAGGTGGATTTTTAACAGCCCCCCGCAAACTCAAGGGGGATAGGAACTAACCAACTTGAGTTTGGAGAGAGTAACAAAACAAGAAAATACATAAAAATAAAAGAGGATAGGAGACACTGTATGGTCGTGTCAGACCATTGGTGAAGACACTGGATGGTGGTGTCATAACGTTGTAGAGGACACTGTATAGGGGTGTCATAACGGTGTAGAGGACACTGGATGGCGGTGTCAGACCGATGTAGAAGACAGTTTATGGGGTCATGTCGGACCGTTGTAGAAAAACAGTTTATGGGGTCATGTCGGACCGTTGTAGAAAAACAGTTTATGGGGTCATGTCGGACCGTTGTAGAAAAACAGTTTATGGGGTCATGTCGGACCGTTGTAGAAAAACAGTTTATGGGGTCATGTCGGACCGTTGTAGAAAAACAGTTTATGGGGTCATGTCGGACCGTTGTAGAAAAACAGTTTATGGGGTCATGTCGGACCGTTGTAGAAAAACAGTTTATGGGGTCATGTCGGACCGTTGTAGAAAAACAGTTTATGGGGTCATGTCGGACCGTTGTAGAAAAACAGTTTATGGGGTCATGTCGGACCGTTGTAGAAAAACAGTTTATGGGGTCATGTCGGACCGTTGTAGAAAAACAGTTTATGGGGTCATGTCGGACCGTTGTAGAAAAACAGTTTATGGGGTCATGTCGGACCGTTGTAGAAAAACAGTTTATGGGGTCATGTCGGACCGTTGTAGAAAAACAGTTTATGGGGTCATGTCGGACCGTTGTAGAAAAACAGTTTATGGGGTCATGTCGGACCGTTGTAGAAAAACAGTTTATGGGGTCATGTCGGACCGTTGTAGAAAAACAGTTTATGGGGTCATGTCGGACCGTTGTAGAAAAACAGTTTATGGGGTCATGTCGGACCGTTGTAGAAAAACAGTTTATGGGGTCATGTCGGACCGTTGTAGAAAAACAGTTTATGGGGTCATGTCGGACCGTTGTAGAAAAACAGTTTATGGGGTCATGTCGGACCGTTGTAGAAAAACAGTTTATGGGGTCATGTCGGACCGTTGTAGAAAAACAGTTTATGGGGTCATGTCGGACCGTTGTAGAAAAACAGTTTATGGGGTCATGTCGGACCGTTGTAGAAAAACAGTTTATGGGGTCATGTCGGACCGTTGTAGAAAAACAGGGGGTTTTTTTTTTTTTTTTTTTTTTTTTTTTTTTTTTTTTTTTTTTTTTTTTTTTTTTTTTTTTTTTTTTTTTTTTGGTGGTGTAAAATGGTGATCGGGGTGAGCCCCGACATGAATAAAATGAGTTTGGTGTGCAGTCCGTCTTCTTCTTTTGTTTTGTTTTGTTTGTTTGTTTTTTTTTTTTATTGTGTTTTATATATGTGGGTGGAAGGGTTGATAAAAAAGGGTCAAAGAGCACATGGAGTCTGAGTAGGTGCATAATAAAAATAATAAAAGGAATGAGTGGAGAGAGGGTTTGATATGTTTAAATAAAAGAAGAGAGTGGGGGTGTGGTGAGAGTGGTGGAATACATATATATATAAAAAAGAAAAATGATGGGAACATTGGCATGTGTTTTCAAACTGTCAAAAGGAAGAGAGAGGTTTGGTGTTAAAGGAAAGGGAATCATGGATATAATTAAAAAGGGGTCTAGTGGAGAGAAAGGGACCAAACCACCAACTCTTCTCTGCTGCATAACCGGCAACCACAATTTCAAAAAACAAGCCACGTGAGAAAGTTGTTCCTGTCTTCCCCATATATCAACCAGCTAGCAGACTACAGCTAGACTTGGGAGAAAAGCTGCACCAATAAAAACTCACCATGCACAACGCAGCTTAACATGCGCTGGCAGTGCATGCAACCAAACAGCATCCTCTCCATTACATCACAGACACTGTAGCGACGTCAGCACCCCGACCCGAGGCAATACCGCATGACAATGTTAGTGGTGGAAGGAGCTTCTAGGATTGAAGAAACTTTACCTCAACAACAATGCTAAGCAAGATAACAACCACAAGGTGTCATCGTCCTTCCCTTTGCATAACAGTAGTAACTCTAAATCTTTAAAGAACTTTCTCCATCGAAGCTCAAAATCTTCGAGCTCGATTCTGGAGTCTTCGCTCAGTCTTCCTTTGCTAAAGGACTCAGATAGCGAGTCCGTTTCAATTTCGTCTCGCTTATCTCTTTCGTCCTCATCGTCTGGTCACGAGCACGATGATCTCCCGAGGCTTTCGCTTGATTCCGAGAAGCCTAATCTCAGTCAAAAACCCGATCGTTCTCACAAAGAATCATAATCCAAACTCCAGCACCCCTAGGGTGCGATTAGTGAAGCGAAGGGCTGCGTCGTCCGAAATCCCCACCGGTACGAGAATCGAACGAAGCCCAAGGCGCAGAGCAACAACGGAATCAACACCTGCTACAGTAGTCCGAGGTGTGTCCGTTGATAGTCCGCGTATGAACTCATCGGGAAAGATCGTGTTCCAGGGCTTAGAGAGAAGCTCAAGCAGTCCAAGTAGCTTCAACAGTGGTCTAAGATTCAAACACAGAGGAATGGAGAGATCATACTCTACCAACGTTAGGATCACTAGAGGGCCGGTGGGCGGCCAAGGCGAGGCTGCCGCCCGCCGGTGAAACAGAATTACTAGCTTCTCAACCTTGCTCTGATACCATGTAAGAATTTATGTATTATTGATTGATTGATGTTGTGTTTATTGATATCAATTACAATGATTCATGATTCCTATATATAGAAGAGGGTGAGTGTGTAGTAGGTGAGGAGTAGGTGAGGAGTAGGTGGTAGTAGGTGAGGAGTAGGTGGAGTAGGTGAGTGTGTAGTAGGTGGTAGTGGTAGGTGTGTAGTAGGTGGATTTTTAACACTTTCACTTTTTTATACTTTTTTTTTTCTTTTTTCTTCACGCTATTAATTCAGGGAAATTAACAAGTGCCTGGGGGGTCTCTCCTTGTCCAAAACGTGAGTATATATTTCTCATAATCAAAACTTCACGGCGACCTATATTACATAGATTCAATACGGTTTCGTGTGCGAGTACATATGTAGAGGTCGAACCTATCAAACCTCAAATTAAGGATATGCGAGACTCAGCAAAAAGGGTCATATTTTTATATTTTTATTCTATTATGTGAGATAAAATAGTGTTATATATAATGTACAATGTCGAAAAGGTATTTTACTCATTTATATATAATGATAGTGTTAATAAAGTATCAGACACATATTCCACACCCTTATCCAAGAGTTGAATGTCCGACATGCGTATTTAATTTATTTTGAAAAATCGATGTAACCTAGGTGACGACTACATTTGGTTGATCCTTCATGTTGTCAAGGGAAAACACACACACACACTCATTTTTTATTAGTACACTGGAGGCCGTAGCCTAGGGGGGAAGGGGAGCCTTGTCTCTGACAAGACTTGAACCATGACCTCCTACTGATGTGCAAGGAACCTGACCAATTGGGCTAGCCCCAATTGATACACACACTCATTTAAATATGAAATATAGCTTTATCCTTTTTTTCCCTTTCATATGATCACACATGATGGATTTCTTTCAGAAGATGGGTATTCTTTGCATATAAATTGTGGTGGAGGACAAACGAAAGTTGGAAACACTGTGTATGTAGCAGATGAATCCCAGGGAGGTGCAGCAACATTGCGAGCAGTAGAAAATTGGGGATTTAGTAGCACTGGACATTTCTGGGATGTCAATGCAACTGCAGGGTACTATATAACCAAAAATGTTTCTGTTCTTACAATGAATGAGTCTCAATTGTACACAAGTGCTCGCCTTTCTCCTCTGTCTCTTACTTACTATGGGCGTTGCTTAGCAAATGGAAACTACACAGTGACCCTTCATTTTGCTGAGATAGTTTTCAGAGATAATCGATCCTATCAGAGTCTTGGTAGACGAATATTCAATGTTTATATCCAGGTAGTTAATATCACTGTAATTGCACCTTTTATTATGCAAATGGAAACATATTTGGTTTATTGGTTTGTTGCAGGATGAACTGGTTTTGAAGGATTTTGATATTGAAACTGTTGCACAAGGGGTTGACAAGGCTGTAGTTCTAAAATTTAACAACACAGTTGTTAAGAATAAGACCATAGAGATTCGCTTTTACTGGGCAGGGAAAGGGACAAGAGCTGTTCCTGATCGAGGAATTTATGGTCCTCTCATATCAGCTATTTCTATAGAATCCAGTAAGTTGTGTTCTATTTAGGCTTTCTTTGTTTATTTCTCAATGGTGAAACATCATCCTATCCCCCTCATGCTTGTGTTTGAGATTCTTTCTGTTACATTTATATTATACTTGCAAATGATTGAATCAATTTAGAGGAAACATAACTTTCAGCTTTATAATGGCCATGATTCTTCTCTTACTAGTTGATTTTTCTTTGAAGTGTCGAATAATTTCTCACGGTAGGAATTTCAAATATTGGTGAGGCTTTGGACAAAAGTTGTCAATTATAGATGCAACCTTATGCATGCTTTATCTGATTTTTCTATGTAGATTTCAAGCCTCATTCTGATCAGAGAAAGAAGATAGTCATTGTAGTTGGAGCTGTAACTTTTTCATTATGCCTCGTTTTCATGATTCTATTTATCTTCTGGCGGAGACGCCATTCAGGAAGCATTACTTCAAGGGAACAAGGTCACTTATTTCTACTCCATGTTTTATTTTTTATTTTTGAAATGCCAACAATGTACTTGCATGTATTCCAGGTATTGCAGAACATAGGAGCAATATATGACTGATGGTGAAATTGTGGTTGTTTGTCAACATTTTAATCATCTTGAGTAGGCCTCCAAAATACCAACAATATGAATTTTTGTTATAAAAGTTGTACATCTTTTTCTTCTTTCTTCTGAAGCAGTGGAGAGTGTCAGATAAACACTGTCAATATTGTCAAAGGAAAAAGACCCAGACCCCCTTTTCCCCCCCACCCCCTTGACCCCCTCTTGATCTGATTGGTGATTTTTTTTTTTTTCCTTCTCCTCCAATCACCACCCGCCACGTGTGTGTGGGGGTGGTGGGGGTGGTGATTGGAGGGAGTCTCTATCAAAGTCCATTGTCAAATTAATCCTGTTTTAAATGTCTTGAGCTTGTTTGATAAATAATATTGTTATGATACCAAAATTCCCTTGCTTATATCTAAATGTCCCTTATAGACATCCCTTAATAGTTGAAAGTAATTGTTTTGAGTTAAGAATGCTAACCATCTCTCATGCCACGATTTAGCACTGAGGAGTTGTAGAGCAACAAAAGAAAATTTGGAACCTTATAACAAGTTGGGATTGTTTGTAGGTGTTGAAAGACTGAACTTCTCTTTTCATTGTTCCAACTTTTCTGCAACCAAACAATGTTAGTAATTTGATGATGCAGTCAAAAAAATAAAACTTGTTCTTTTGCAGAACTAAGAGGATTAGATTTGCAAACTGGTTTATTTACCTTCAGACAAATTAAAGCTGCCACTAACAACTTTGACGATAGCAACAAAATTGGGGAAGGCGGTTTTGGATCTGTCTATAAGGTATATCGTAATTAATTGTATTTTTGTATTATGTCATATTCACTTTGTGTTTTTTGTTTATGGTATGATGTCATGTGGAGATGCCAATTCCATGTTAAAGTGTTATTAAAAATTAAGTTTTTATTTCAATGCAGGGTATATTATTGGACGGTACTGTAATTGCAGTTAAGCAGCTTTCTTCCAAATCAAAGCAAGGAAATCGTGAATTTGTTAATGAGATTGGTATGATCTCTGGTTTACAGCATCCAAATCTTGTAAGATTGTACGGATGTTGCATTGAAGGGAATCAACTACTATTGGTGTATGAATACATGGAAAACAATAGCCTTGCCCGAGCTCTATTTGGTAACTTAATGTTTTCAGTTAGTTGTGTATATTTCATTAGTTAAATAAGATTATCAAGAAAATATTATGGGGCAACGGAGCTTACCAGTGTTGATGCTGTAGCTCATGCAGTTATGTTCAATACCCAACATTCCCCGCTTCTTCCCCTTAGACTAGGCTACGGTAGCAATTTCTAATGTCAAAAAAAATAAAATAAAATAAAGAAGCAAACATTATTACTTCTGTTACCAACCATTAATAATCTAGATCTGTTTTTTCCTTTCCTTGTTTTTCATCTCCTTCTTGATTTGCTATTTCTTGTTAATTATAGGTCCAAAGGAATGGCAATTGAATTTGGGTTGGCCTAGCAGGCTAAGGATTTGTGTTGGCATAGCAAGAGGTTTGGCATTCCTTTTTTCCTCTATTTTTTTGGCAAATTATACTTTGTCCCTTAAATACAATCATTTTTTCAATTCCTGCACGAGGAATCAAGACTGAAAATTGTTCATAGGGACATCAAGGCTACCAATGTGCTACTTGATGGGGATCTTAACCCTAAGATCTCTGATTTTGGTCTGGCTAAGCTTACTGAAGATGACAACACCCACATTAGCACCAGGGTTGCTGGAACTATGTAAGCTACCAAAATTTCTCTTTCCTTCATAAGACACTATCCCCACATTTTTAGAAGTAATTATATCTAAGATGCCACCTTAGAACAGGCTAGAAATATGTAGGTATCTCCTTTATTACTGGCCATGTGTTCCTCACACATCGTCATGAAGACCTACCCGTGTTAGCCTTCAAGGGACACGTGTACAGTCTACTTGTTCGATCTTACTCAAATAGGATTAAATCGACCCATAGTATCTCGTTATATGCCCAAGTCCACTTCATTCTTAAGAAGTTTGCCAACCAGACATCCTGCAAGAATCAAGAGTTTGGGCATCATCTCCCTGTCGCTGAAGTCTCATAGCTTGTCTTTACATTGTGGTGGTCATACAACACATCTTATAACATGATAGTGGTTTTACTTTGTCCTTTATTGTGGTGATAGTATTGCATGGCTATGTGGTAATTTCAATAACTTTTCATCTTTTTCATCACTAAGATGTCTAGTTTTGATCATATTTTGATCACCTTGAAAATTGCATGAATGCTTGAAAATTACCAAATAAGGTTGTGTATTGTTAGCATTTACCACTTAAAACTACTGCTAATGTTGGAACTGTGCTAAAAAGTATATATTGCTAAAATAGAATAAACAAAATTATGTTTTTTGTGCAGAGGGTACATGGCCCCAGAATATGCATTATGGGGTTATTTAACCAACAAGGCAGATGTTTACAGTTTTGGGGTTGTTGCATTGGAAATTGCTGCTGGAAAGGACAATATGAAATTTCGTCCTAGTGATCAATATGTCTGTCTGCTTGATTGGGTAAGTTCTTGGTTCTTGAAAGTATAGGGTTGAATGTACTTTAAAGACATTTCTTGCTTTCAGACCTATCTGTTTGGCTTAATTGGCCAGCTATGACTTGAGTTAAAAGAAACTTAGCAGGAAGTTGAACTAACCTGAAATGGTTTCGTCAACGAGGATTTGAGCCAATTGCCATTTATTGTTTGCAAGGCTTTAAATTTGATTGGTCTAGAATGTTTAGTTTTTATTGAAATGTTAGTGAATTAAGATAACTGATATTCCAATAACCCTGGAAATTTAGAGTGAAAAAGCTAAGACAGTCAAAATTTGGTTTCTCATCAAGGACATAAAATCAAAAGAGAATGCCTTTTATCTAAATTTCACCCAACATGAAACATTGCTTTTCCAAGTCACTTTTAATCTTGTTTGTCCATGGTGGGCAGGACTAGTGGTTGTTTTTATACCCAAGTCTACTACCATAAATGTTCTATTTTCTTGTTTTTATTTATTTATTATTATTATTATTATTTTTTTATTTTGATTTGGTGGTTGGGGTTCTAGGATCATTATTTGCCTGGCTTATTTCATATCAGTATCTTTCTTGTGCTTATTTCAGGCCCTTGTTTTGCAACAAAAAGGGCGTTTAATGGAGTTGGTGGATCCACAGTTGGGTCCTGATTTCGACAAGGAAGAGGCAGTAAAAATGATCAAGATAGCATTATTATGCACTAATCCATCTCCGGCACTTAGGCCTGCCATGTCTGCAGTAGTAAGCATGCTTGAAGGTCATCTTGACATTCAGGACTTAGTCATGGATCCAAGTATCTATGGTGATGAATACAGGTTTAGATCCCTCAAAGACAAGTACGATGAGCTGCAACTACAGAGTTCAAATGAAGCTCAGAGCCTTATTGATTCGATGGTCACGACACAAATTGGATCTTCCTCTACATCTACCAATGATCTTTTATCAAATCAATCTTGATTCTGTGTAACACTGCCAACATGAGGATGTGTCTGGGTGGGTTCATTATATTTTTTGCAATGCCTTCATTAGCATTTTTTTTTTTTAATAAATTTTTAGAAGCAATAGTATGCTTTGACTATTGCTTTCAAATGTATGAAAAGTGCTTTCAAGATGCTTATCAAATAGTGCTTTAGATGTGTATGTGGCCTCCATGTTTTACCTACTCTGACATTTGGCCTACTATAGCTTAATATCTTTTTTCCTCTATTTTTTTGGCAAATTATACTTTGTCCCTTAAATACAATCATTTTTTCAATTTGATTGTTAAACTTGAAGTTTTATTTATTTATTTTTTGTACCCAAGCGGTAGTCCAAGTGGTCTCATGAGCGGAGACACTTAGATACGAATGAGGTGAGATCTCAAGTTTAAGTCAATGAAGTGGTGCCTGTTTTTGTTGTCAATTTTTGTTTTGTTTTTATTGATTACTTATTGTACATTCATTAATAGAACCATTAAAAGACCATTTATTCAGTAAAGGTGTAATTAGTGAAAGCAAAAGTGTATTTAATTAAAAAGGCTGCTATTAGCACCTGTCTAAATTCTTTGGACCTCCCATTTCTTTGAACCCCCATCCTAAACCCTAAATTTCAATAAGATTTTTTGAACACCCTACTTAATACCAAATTTACCCCTATTCATAATATTATCACACGTAAGGGGCACCCATCTAATTTTTCACACCTTCTCTCCTCCTTTTGATGACTGCCCATCTCCTTTTAAAAAAAATGCCGACAGTCATTGCATTAGTAAACACCATTGCCTCAATGAAGAGCATTGCATCAATATTCCATTATTGAAATTCTTGTCGACTCTCAACGAAAGGAGAAATCGATTAAATGGTGTCCAAAGAATACCGTCAAAAAACTCATCAACTCCCCCATCTTATCAACAACATTGCCTTTCTTCTTTCTATAACATTTTTGTTTTTTGGTTTATTTCGGCATAAGAAGGGGGTTTTAGGGGGAAAAATCCTCACGAAAAATTCAATTTGGTCTTGAAGACACAAATCGAACCGTTCGGTATAACAGTGCCAAAAATAAAGGTCATGTTTGGTTCAACAATACTAACTATCTACATTATTGTTCAGAATCCATATATTGAACTAAATGTTTGTGTTCGGTATTGTGTTACTGAACATAATCTTAACAATCGGCAAACCAGTACCGAACAACTCAAACAAAACAACAACAATTGAAAGCAACCAAGAATGTTAATGCAAGATAGATACACTTATCAATGGAATGCCAGCCTCATCAGAATTATTGTCATCGTCTTCCATTGCTCTACAATGTGAAATAATTGATGAAGAGCAATATGTTGGACTTGAAAAGAGCTTTTTGGTTCAAAATTTCTGGTTCATGAGGGTTTATGGTGGTAATGAAGATGATACATTCATGGTTTAAGATGATTATGAAGAGTAATATGTTTAGGGTTTATGTTGGTTGGCTATGAAGAGTAACAGGTTTAGGGTTTAAAAAGGTGGAATACGTATAGCTGGAGGTGGAGTTGGGGGTGGGGGTAGAGGTGGGTGTACAATATTGTATAGCGTTAGTTATTATTTGATAGGTGGATGTTCCATTAAAGGATGTCTTTTATTATAATATTACTTCATAATATAATTGTAATAAAAGAAAAATTGGAAATTAAGAGTTTAAAGAATTTAGATAGATGGTAATAGATGCACTCTTAATTAAACCAAATATGTTGAGTCTTGATAGTAGACTAGTTGTGCCCATTGATGACAACTTTAGAAGAGAGTTGTTAATGATTTTTTATTTTTTTTTAACAAAAAAGTCAGTGAATTGGATACAAATAAGGATAAAATAGTCAATGAACTTTATTATACTTCCATGTGCTAGTCACATGACCATTTTCCACCCAAGTACCTAATTGTGTGCAACAGTTGGACCAATTTAATAGAAATTGAGATTTTTGGTTTAATGTGTTGTAATTGAAACTGTAACTGTTGGACAATCTTCACTGTATTCCGAATGAATTAAGTTTGTGTACTTAACAACAAACAAAAGAAATAAAGGAAAGGAGGGAGAAAGTTTGATTACAAAAATGAAACTAAAAAATAAAATAAAAAAATAAAAACAGATTTTGATTTTGTTACAAAAACAAATTCAAAATCTGATATAAATAAATAATAAACCAGAAAATAAATTAACAAGTTACTTGATTAATTTCTTGAACAAATTTTTGATCAAGTCCAGTGTTTAACACTGTGTCCTTAAGACAGATTCGTCCTCTCCACGGTGCTTTCAGAATGTGGACATCTATTTTCCAGGATAAAAAGATCAACAACAAATAGTAGCAACACTACAAACTGTTTGCACAACGAACACACTTTGTGTTTATACACTTTCTCACAAGAAAATAATGCAAGAAAATGTAGAGAATAATTGCAGAATTATTTGGACGAAAATTGAGTGAAAAAACCAAGTGAGGACTAGTCTAGTTATAGATGATAATAGTGGCTGTTAGGTTTGAATCCAACAGGTATGGTTACCTGTTCGGATAGATCAATAGATCTGGTTTGAATTTCAAACAAATAAAAACTATTTTGGGTTTGAATTTGGACAGATTCGGATCTGTTTGGACAGTGAACCTGTACAAAAAATTTTGAAAGGGTGCAACAAATTTGAATTCAAAAAATTGAAATTTGAACTGGACATATTTTATTTAAAAAAATAAAATTGAATTCAAATGTTTTTGGCCCAAAAAGATAAGTATTGGGCCGGACAAGCCCAACCCAACCTCACACCACGTACCAGCGCCCAAGCCCAGCCCAACCTAGCCGGCCGGAAGGACAACGGCACGCACGTGTGTGTTTATTTTTGGGTCCAATGGGTCTAGCCCAATTTGCCCATAACCTCTCCCTTCTACAAACTTGGGGTGTCCCTTGGGGCCCTCCCCAAGTTATAATCCCAAGCTTTATAAACCTACAAATTTCTTCCTACCAAACCAATGTGGGACAAGCCTTTATTCAAACCTTTAAGGATTTTCCATCAAAACTCCATTTCCATGGAGCGCACTTTGGTTTCAATTTCTCGTTCACCCGACAATGGTTTTGAGCAACCAAATATACCACGTGGATCACAACGTGGCATAGAACGCGTTACTACCTTGACCCGCGAAATTCGGCGCATGGGTCCCACCTAAAAAATAGACCAAAGTTAAGGAAAAATCAGATTTTTCCAAAACTTCAAAACCATTTCTAACAATCTCCCACAGGAATAGAATTTGATTACAACGGAAATGCAACAATATGCAGAATTTGTCGAAAGAGTATAAATTGAAAATATGTTGCATCAAGAAAGGTAGCTTTCGGCCTTGAACCTTTCCTAGTGATAACCTATCGGACTTACTAGCTAACTAATGGACGCGATGCCTTGAATTGTTCAACCGTTTGTGTAAGCCAAGACAATAGATTTCACACAAAATATCTTCTAACACATCGTGGTTCTCACGGTTGTGTTCATTTTGGTCTTGAATGCTCCTGGTTTTCATGAGTGCTTTGTAGAGAATTTAGCCTCTTCATTCTCATAGAACCGGCCCCAGTTCGACACTCAAATAGGTGATTCTTATTGTGAGTATCCCTTATACTTGTCTTGATTTTTATGCCTAAATTAAGATATAAGTAATCATTAAAAGCAAAACTTATCCTAGACCCCTACAGATAACACATGTTGCAGATATTACTCTCATCATAGGAATTTAATCCCTTGGTGATTTCTAGTAAGCCACACATAACTTAGTTGTCACTTTGAACTTAGTTCTTAGGATCTCCAGTCATACAAATAGAGTTACCATTATAATGACTCTTATGTAATAGGCTTTAAACCTATCCCCTTCGATAAACTATGCACTTGCTCTTTTGTCAAACTTTTTGTTAACAGATCCGCAATATTCTCTTTAGATTTTATATAATCTATTGGGATTATTCCATTTGAGAGAATTGCCTTACGGTATTATGTCGACGACGAATATGTCGAGACTTACCATTATATATATGATTCTGTGCCCTGCCTATTGTAGATTGAGTATCACAATGAATGCAAATAACTGCTATAGGTTTTGGCTACATCGGAATGTCTTCTAAGAAGTGATGAAGCCATTCTGCTTCTTCTCCTGCTTTGTCTAAAGCAATGAACTCAGATTCCATTGTGGATCGTGCGATGCATGTTTGTTTTGTAGATTTTCAAGAAACAGTAGCGCCTCCCAGAGTAAAGATATATCTTCTATTGGATTTTGAATCTTTAGTATCTGATATCCAATTGGCATCACAATAACCTTCGAGTACTGTTGGATATCGAGTAAAGGTCAAACCATGATTACGGGTAAATCTTAGATATCTAAGAACCTGAATGATCGCTTTCCAATGGTCTTCTCCGGGGTTATTAGTGTACCTACTCAATTTACTGACAACATAAGCTATATCAGGATGAGTACAATTCATTAAGTACATTAGGCTTCCAATGATTTGGGAGTATTTTAACTGAGACACCGCATCACCTTTATTTTTCGATAAATAAAGACTGATATCTACAGGTGTTCTAGCTACATTCATATCATCCTTGATAAATTTACCAAGAATTGTTTCAATATAATGTGATTAAGATAATGCATATCCGTCAGATGTTTTAGTAATTTTCATTCCAAATACAACATCTGCGACCCCCATATCTTTCATATCAAATCTTCTATTCAGCATTTACTTAGTTGATTTGATCATATTTTGACTGCTTCCAATGATAAGCATGTCATCCACATAAAGACAAACTATGACATTGCTTTGTCAGTGTTTTTAACATAGACGCACTTGTCACATTCGTTTATCTTAAACCCATTAGCAAGCATAGCATGATCAAATTTTTCATGCCATTTCTTAGGTGCTTGTTTTAATGCAAAAAGAGATTTTACAAGCCGACACACTTTCTTTTCTTGCCCCGACACTACAAACTCTTCGGATTGCTCCATATAGATCTCTTCATTTAGATCACTGTTTAAGAAAGCTGTCTTAACATCCATTTGATGTATCTCTAAATTATACAACGCTGCTATGGCAATAAGCATGCGGATGGATATTATTCTTGTCATAGGAGAATATATGTCAAAATAGTCCAGACTTTCCT